ATGCTTGGGTTTGTGAAGCGTAGTACAAGGGAATTTGCGAATATCAACTCCATCAAAACGTTATACTTCTCATTTGTTCGTACACATCTTGAGTATGCTGCATGTGCTTGGAGTCCAAACTATGCCTGTCATATTCATCGCCTTGAAGGTGTGCAGCGTAAATTTAGCAAATATCTCACTTACAAATTTTTTAACGATGAGGAATTTCATTATGCACCACTTTGTGACGCACTCAACTACTTATTAACCCTTTGCTCAAGAAGGAAGCAGAAAGACCTCAAACTTATATATAAAATCGTAAATTCCACAATTGATTGCTCCTACTTGACTTCTAAAATAGCCCTACATGTCCCATCACGTAACACCCGCACATCTCAAACTTTCCATCTTCATTTTCACAGAACCAACTATGCATATCACTCTTTCATTCCTCGTATCCTCAAACTGGTAATAATGAGCTGGGAGACATTAATTTATTTGGGCCCTATGAACCATTTGCGAGAACTGTCACTGGCCTCAAGTTATAATTATTGTTATTTTATTCTGTGATTTTGTATTTGGTTTGATCTAACTTAATTTGATTATATTTAATTTAATTTAGTATCATGGTTTGGCACTTATTGCATTCTTTGTTTCTGCTTTATCTATTTTGATTGGCATTTTGCTTTTCTTATTTACTTGTTTCACTTATACACTTTGTTAATTTTTAATGGGCTTGACCCGTCAATAAATAAAAAAATAAATAAATAAATAAAAATTATGTATTTGGAGCCAGTTTTTTGGCTTACTAATTGGAGGGATTCTATCTGTCTTTGCTTGGGTTTGAGGATTTCCACTTTCTTTAATATCGTTTTATTGTGATGCTCCGGCATAAGATCAATAAATTTTTGGGTTGATTGAGGAGTTTCAGTCAGAGAGGTCTGAGTCGTGGCCTTCGTAAGATTGTGTGTTTCCGCATATTGTACCTCTACCACTTCCATGCGAGAACCTTCCTTCTGATTCTTGGTAACATGTACATGTTGCACATTGTCTCAAAATTTCTCAGTTATTACTTACTTTGATCACCTTCGACCTGCTTTCATACTTTTACCCTCAAATAAGCCAGCACAAAAATTATTATTTTCTCCCCAAAATAGCCGATATTTAATGACCCTAGGGCGTGCAAGGGTTGTGATATTTATTTTTGTCGGTTATAAATAGCCCGTACCTTGTAGCTATTTGTATGAAAGGAAACTCAATATTGGCTATCCAGGGCTCCGTTCTTTTATATGAGATTTGACGATACAGAATGGAACGTAATATTGGCCACAAAGAGAAAAACAACTCTCTTTTGAAGGAAATAATTTATACCTAGGTAATTTATATTGAAGCATGATGTTTATAGGTATCGTAGATAAGAGCAAAGTTTCACTGTACATCTTTGTTATTAATTGCACTGTAAGTATATCAGCAAAGGTATAACACATAATATTTTTCCAAGGAATAAAATGTCCTAAAACCCCACATCACTGAACCAAAAATAGTTGGTCTCTTAAACCTCGTATTATCTAATTTGGTGAAATTGTATGTGTTTGACAGCAGCAGCCCCAGTCAGCAGGAGCAGCAGGCCCAGCCGTAATAGAATTACCATTAGCTGCTAACTAGTTAAACCGTGCAGCAGCTTTGTTTGCGTTTCCACTTACAAATACCTTTTTGCAGGGCTCGATATTACAGAGCAGGAGCAGCGAACACGTTTCTTGTGTCTTGTAAATATAGAGTAGGTAGCTGAAATATACGGCCTCATATCTTATAAAGAAGAAAATAATAGCTTTCGCATAAAAGAATATGATCGAAATGTATATCTGGAATAATAACTATATTTCTCATATTTGAAAAAAGACGCCTACTAGAATCTGTTTATTTAGAAATTGTACACTGAAAAAAAATTCGAGATTATAATAAATAAATATTTGTTTCTGACAAATTTGGTTACAAATACCAAACCAATATTATAATTAATATGCATTGGTAAGAAATACATTAAATTGGTAATTAAAAATATGACTGTTAAAAATAGTTATTTATAAAATACAAATGATTTATTAGGACATTTTCTTATATCAAACAATGTTTGTTAATAATGAACAAAATATTTCTTACATTGATTTGCAAGGGTTTTATAAATATAATTTATTAACAGAATGTTCTGGTTTAGTAATTATAAACAAATTGTAACTATAGATTAATAAATATGTTCCATTTTAACACAGTTTAGTTGAAATTTCAACTTGTTCCTTGGTTTCTAATAATAAATCCTTATTTTCCATACATAAATTATAATATCAGTAAACAAACGTTGGTACACCCGCCACCATCCGCACTGTCTATCGCCTATATTTGTGAGCTATTCGTTCTTTTGGCTTCGAGGCGTGAAAGAAGAAACACCTTGACCTATGTTTTCTCTTATCTGTTCCACCGACTCCCTACTTTTGCATTATTCTGGCGTGCTTCGGCGAAATACAAAGTTTACAGTCAACTTATAAATGATATTATCCCAACTCTGAGTGTAATAATTATTAAATCGTGGAAGATAGCGTGGCGGAACACAACAGTGTCGAATTACAACGGTTTTTGGAAACGTGCTGTGATGGTGATGCTGAAGTTGTTTTATAAAACTGCAAACGTAATAATATTTTCTGAAGAAGCGCCAGTTAATTAATAGGTACCAAGCAACTTTGTATTCACCTTTTTTTCCTATTACACCTGAGAAGATAATCGAGTTATAGTTCATTATTACATTCACAGGTCGCCGCATATACACCCGCCATGTTGCTATGTTCTTCAACAAAATGATGTTACCTATGTGAGAATCTAGCCTACCGAAGAAAAATAAATTCAAAAAAAGATCGGTTCGTTTTTAATTATTTCAGAGTGCCCTATTCCCAGGAACAAACTAAGGCCCAGTGGTACAATCGAAGCTTATAAATCGTGGCTTATTAAAGCTTTTCAATTTTCAATTTCAAGCAAGCTTTATTGTCTAAAAATGTAGATTTTCATTGACAAAGCAAGAGTAATAATAAAATAAACAAAACAATAATAAAACAAGTAACATCTCAAAGGGGTAATTTTCCTTAGACTAAAGAATATACTTAATATTAAAATTACAGGACAGTAAACTTATGGTGCATGATCAAAATTGTACAAACTCACGCTTAAATACATACATAACAAAACAACCAGTCAAAGTCAAGTCACAACACAATTTCAAAATGAATAGGTCTAGACTTATAAAATAGATAAAATACAATAACTGTAACACAAAGCTCATTTAGTCGTCATAATACTCTTTTAAACTGTAGAAAGCTTTGGTGGCTAGATATTTTTTAACATTTGACCGAAATGCTTTATAACAGGAAACGTTTTTTATATCCTGTGGTAGTTTATTAAACATTTTTTTACTCTCATAAATTATCGATTGCTTTGTTAAGGCAAATTTTGGTATTGGGAGTGGTAACGTATTATTATTACGAAGATAATAATTATTTTCCTGAACAAGACTTGCAGACTTTTTATATATAAGAGATACCGACTCAAGAATAAAAATACAGGGCACAGTCAGAATAGCCTCCTCCTTAAACAAGCCCCGACAGGTTTCCCTACAACCTACCCTGCATAAATATCGAACCGCCCTCTTTTGCAAAATAAATAAAGTGCGAATTGAAGATTGTGGCGAAAAACCCCAGAAAGCGATCCCATATCGAATATGGGACTCTATTAAAGAGTAGTAAGCATTTTTTCCTATTTTTTTGCCGAGTTCTTGAGTAACTGCTCTAATGACGTAACAGGCACAAGATATTTTTTTTGCTAGGTTGTCTATATGAGAATCAAATTTAAGTTGCTTATCAATGTAAATGCCAAGATATTTTACAGTTATTTTGTTTTCGAGGATTTGATCTTCAATTTTTATATCAGACAAGGCACATTTAAAAGTTAAAATATTGGTTTTTTGAATGTTAAAGCAAAGCTTGTTCGAGTCGCACCACTGTTTAATACTTAATAGATCTGATTCGATGGTTAGGTTTAAATTTTCAAGAGTTTTTGAGGTCCATAGTGCGTTGGCATCATCAACAAATGCTGTTAGTTTTGCAGTTACTGGAAGTTTTAGTAAATCATTTACATATATAAGAAACAGTATGGGGCCCAAGACAGAGCCCTGTGGCACGCCACAAGAAACTCTTGCCTTTTGTGATGTGTCCCCCTTCACGCTCACAGATTGGTATCTTTCGGAGAGCATCGATCCAAACCAGTTCAAAGGGATTCCCTGAATACCATAATGAGCCAGCTTAACTGTTACTTGTACTTTCCTATTTAAAATTCATTACTGTCAACGTGTTGTCAAATCTTACAGCTGTGCATTTTAAATGGGAAGGTTTCAAGTACCAGAAAGCTTAACTAAGCCATGATAGGCTTCAATTGTACAACCGGGCTTAAAGAAAAAAAATACTTATGGTAAATAATTCCAAATTAACAGTAACAAAGCTAAATAATATTTACGAATAAACGTTTTTTACTATTAATAAATGATTATTTGAATCAAATATTGTTTACTTACTGGTAATAAATATAAAGTTATGTTTAATCCAGCAAAAGAAACCAGAATTTATTATTAACAAACGTATATTTTTGAAAAATATGATCAATTTACTATTAGTAAAGACAGAAAATCCAGAAGCAAACACCAACTTCAGAGAACAAAATATTTATTTATTATTAATATGCGTTAATTAACTATTATTTGATAGAGTATATCATTAAATAAGTGCTTTATTCTCAAATTTTAAACAAATAATTTGTGTGTTGTGACCAAAGGTTTATTAAGCCATATTTCAATAAGCGATTTAGTAATAGTCACTAATTTTAGGTTATTATTACTAAATCCTTCTTTCAGTGTAACCTTAACTTTTGATGGTTATTGTTATAGAACTATGTATTGGTTAATCATTAATTATTAATTTGGCTTAATGAATCTAGGAGTAAACACCACGAAAAATAACGTTTTCGAAAAATACAGATCCACCAGCGAAGCAGTTATCATTTTCAAAGAAATTGGAGGAAAGTCCTTAGAGTAGGAACCACAACATATCGCACATCCCATTCAAAACTGTATCAAGTAAAAAAAAAACAAAAACGGGATTATCTCAGTAGCATGCAGAAAAACACCGAAAGTTTATCCGTGCAAAACCGTATTAACGTAAGTTCAACCATTTTTCACTAGATGGGGTCACTTGATTTGTCATATATCAAAAATGGCACGAGATCCCCATGCAAAACAGTATTAAACAGTATTATTTTGGCGTTTATAGGGGATGGATCGTGTGTTTCCCTTCAAAAGCGTATTAACGTTAAAAGTGCGGTCATAAAATAGGAATTTTTTAGTGGAAAAGTGCATCATTCCAATTTACTACCCTTTTCTCCCAAAAGCGAGGTAAGTATGTAAACAATGTCTTGGATTAAAACTGTATTATCTCAAGTTGATACAGTTTTTTTCGGAATCCGCAATAATATATATTATATTCAGGTTTATAAAAGAGTATTATCTTGGTTTAAGACGCTTTTGCTCGAGAGTAATACCAAATATTAGAATTGCTTCAAGAGAAAAGAGCCTCTTTTTGAGTTAATACAGTTTTTTTCGAAATTATGTATTATTTTATGAAATTATAATGGTTATAAAAGGACATTTTTTCGATTTATTATGCTTTTTCTCGAGCGAGGTTGTATTTTGATACAATTTTTTCTACTGAAAAACAAGAAAATTAATCAAGAAAATCATAATTATTATTTCAAGAAAAAAATTATAAAAAATAAATTTTCTTTGTGTCTTTTAGAATGTCAATCAGGGCAAGAACTGCTAGAATTTTGAGTGCTGCTGCTAAAGTAGTTGCAACGGAATTGCAACTTGCTGAGCCAGTTTGTGGAATCCAAAATGATTTGACATCTGTAAATAGTGCTAGTCCTCATTATAATGCAGAAAACTTGTCCGAAAGTGATAGATCTTTAAATGATTCTCAAATTAATGCTGCGAATTGTGCTGCATCTCAGAATTATACCTCACTAAATACTGAGTCCACACACATTGACGGAATCCAAATCCAACAAAATTTAACATCGATACCTGTCAGTAATTCTGGCCCTAATAATAATCCTGAAACTTTGACCGAAAATAATGGATTAAATGATAACTCCGAGGATAACCCTGAGGTAAATGCTGAATCTGAATTTTGTCCTACACCTCAGAACTATACGCCATTAAATAATGAATCGAATGAATACATTTCATTATCAATCAAACATCAAAAATTTCATGAAGCTCCTGATACCTTAACTTCAAATTTACGCACTCCAAGAACGTCTGAGACTAACATCTTAAAAACTATGACTGCAAACCCAAATGAAAGTGAAACTGAAAGCGAAGATGATGACGATAGTGTTAAAGATCCCAACACTCGAAGGAAGACTGAGACTAGCACCTTAAAAAATAGGACTGCAAAACCAAATGAAAGTGGAACTGAAAGCGAAGATGATGACGATAGTATTAAAGATCCCAATTTTGAAAGTTCTTCAAGTTCGAGTAGCTCAAGTTCAGATTCTTCTTCTTCTTCTTCTTCTTCGTCATCTGATGAAGAAATTGGTCGAGAAGTCTTGAGGGAAATAGTTGCGACAAGAAACACTGAAGAAGTACATGAAGACTTGGAAAATAATGCTACAAATGGAAAGAAATGTAGGAAAAGATTGCGAAACGAAAATGAGTGGAACAAAAACAAGATAAAGAGATTAAGAAATTCCGGCAAGGAGTACATTTCATCAGCAAAATCGAAAAGAGTCGTCTCTGCTAAACAAGTAAAAGAGTCTTGTGGTGAAAAATGCCAACACCAGTGTTCTAAAAAATTTGACAGGGAACAACGTTTACAACTATTCAATGCTTATTACAGCCTCGAGAATATTGATAGAAAGCGTGATTTCTTATCAAAGCATATGGAATTAATTACACCAAAATATCGTTATGTTAGAGCTGCCAGTAACCGAAGACTCAATTTTGCTTTTTATTTCAGAACCTCTGATGGCAAAAAACTGAGGGTTTGCAAGAAATTTTTTAAAAATACTCTTGATATAAATGATAGGACAGTACTTACAGTGAGAGATAAAACTTTGCCATCGGGCGTTGTTAGTGCAGATGGAAGGGGAAAACATAAAAACCATAAAAAAATAAGCGATAATTTGAAGAATGATGTCAGAAATCATATTCAATCAATTCCAAGAATTGAAAGCCATTATCTGCGGGCACAGACATCGAGAGAATTTATTGATGGTAGCAAAACCATTGCTGACCTCTATAGAGACTACAAACTTGCATGTGAGGCTGAAGGCAAGGCGACAGTAAATTATCACATGTACGCAGATATTTTCAACACAGAATTTAACATTTCCTTTTTTATTCCCAAAAAGGACCAATGTAGTCTTTGTTTTCAATACAATACCGCTGATGAAGAAGGCAAAGAAAACTTGAAGTTGCAGTATGATGAACATTTAAAGGAAAAAGTATTATCGAGAAAGGATAAGGAAGAAGATAAAGCCAAAGTAAATCAAAACTTTATTGTGGCTTGCTTTGACATGCAAGCTGTCCTACCAATTCCTAAGGGGGACATCTCAATTTTTTATTATAAATCAAAACTCAACACAATGAACTTGTCAGTTACTGAAATTGGGAATGATGCAACCTGGTGCTATGTTTGGCATGAAGGAGAAGGAGGAAAAGGGGCCACAGAAGTAGGGTCTTGCATCTTGAAATACTTAGAAGAAAAAGCAAGCAAATGCGACAGTGAAGAATTAGAAATAGTTCTTTACAGCGACAATTGTGGAGCACAACAAAAAAATAGGTAAACAAAGACATTCATTCAATAATCTAGGTGATAGTATAAGATTTATTCAATTTGTTCCAGATACTTGATAGCACTTCTTATGTATGCGGTACAGAAATATAAAATTAAGGCAGTCACCCACAAATACCTCATTGTTGGACATACACAAAACGAGGGAGATGCCACCCATTCTGTAATTGAAAAACAGGTAGTTCAATTTTTTCTCATCAATCATTTAGTTAAATAATTTTTAGTTTCTCGCAGCTTTTCTCTACTTATAAAAATTTCATAAGATAAGCTGACTTCATTGCATAACATCATTCGGCAACAAAAAAATATTCTACCCGCCCAATGTAGAACGCCATAAGCACCTATCAAAGCTATCACCGAATGACATCGTGCGACAAAAGAGGCTTATTTTATTCATGCTGGGGATGCTGCTATTCCATCAGCTTTCATTTGTTTATACATTTCAGGTGACCAGAGCATTAAAATCAGGACCTATCTTTGTTCCTGATCAGTTTGTAATGTTGATAAGAGTAGCAAAGAAAAAAGGATCCCCATATTTTGTGAAAGAATTATCACACGATGATTTTGTCGATGTGAAGCAGCTTATGGCTGATACTGGGATAAATTTTAATGTGAATACCAAGGGAGAGCAAGTCTTTATTAGTAACCTTCGAATTGTGAGAGTTGAGAAAAACCAGCCATTTCTGTTTTTTTACAAAATGTCGTATACAGAATCGGAGGAATGGAAATCGGTGGATGTTCGTGGAAATGCAATGGTGAAAAAAACTACCAGACGATCAGAATCTGCAAGCACTCGGTTGAACACCTTGCCAACTCTGAATAAAGCTTACAAATCCAAGCTTACAATTAATGAAAATAAGAAAAAAGATTTGAAATTTCTATTGGAAAAAAATTTTATACCAAACTATTACAAAGGCTTTTATGAATCATTATTTTAGTTATGTTAGTTGACTGTTGGTTCAATTACTTATTCTTTGTTAATCAATAACTAATTGGTATTAAATTAGTAGTTAGAATTCAAGATTTTATTTTTTTACGTTTTTTTTAGAAATTTATTTGTTTTGTTTCAAGAAATTTATATTATTTCTCATATTATTTAAGAAAGTAGTAGCATTTTCTTCTCAGTCATCAATATTATGCATAAAAAATAAAGAAATTATAAAACTCAACACAAAAAGGGTTTAAATATTTTGTGAGAAAAGTGTATCATCTCAAATCAAAATTCATTTTCGAGACTTCTAGGAAAAATAGAGGATTTTTTTTTAGAGTGTGGTTTTGTGAGCATATTCATTGAAATAAAACCAAAGCATGAAATATCTAAGCCTAATATTGAATGCAAAATGAAAAAAACAATGTTCCAAAATTTTATTTTGCTTATCCTGTAAAATTTCACATTTTTGACTTACTACGGCTTTGAATGGGGTGTGCGATATATGCTTTTTCCACACGATTAAAACTTTCTACCAAGTCAAATGTCATTTATAGTAGGTAGGTAGGTACTATTCTGTTTTGACTTTAATATTGCATTATATTCTAATTCTATGAATAAACCTTGAATTTCTTTTTCAATTAACTTATAGAGCTTTTTTTAGGAAAACGTTCATTGCAATAATAATTATTCTCTGCAACATCCTGTATCAAATTCAATCAAGTAAAACGAAAAGAAACTAAGCCAAGTGGTTCTTTTCTCCCGAAAGTGCGAACAAGAGAATATCTATCTGTCATCTTGTCAGTCGGATTTGATCGAGTGATTCATCTCGTGGCTCGCTTGTGCCCCGTGTGCCAATTCAGTTAGTTATAAGGAAGAGAGAAGCAGGACCCCTCAAAAGCAACGAGAAAAAGGGGTGCGGATATTCTCTTTTCTCTGGGTTTCCTTATTGTTTCAATCAGATTGATGTTGTGTGTTTGATTTGTACTGGAAAGAAGCTGCTAACTATCGAATTTTATTACTCTGGTTAGGTGATTTGTTTGGTTGTCGGACCCTTTGTTCCGGATTAGTTAGCCAGTGGTGTTACAAAATGTATTTTTCCTTCGCGCTCCAACAAAAAAAATGGAGGAAATTAAAGAAGAAACTTTAACCATTTTCAACATTGCGTCTAAAGGCGATTGATTGGATTAAAGGGAAAGCTTCGCATAGCTTTAAAACGGGATAAATGATGTTATCGGTGGTTCGGAAAGAAAATTGAATTATAGCACTGTTGCAAACTTTTCAGTCTTATTTCTAAATGAATTATTAGATTTGGTTGTAACTTTTTGTAGGATATTTTGTAAAGGCACTCCAAAATAAAGCTTTTAGATCTAAAAATAATGTCTCTTTTCGATCAATAACAGCAACCCTCTCTTCCTCTTCTCAATACCTACTCTATCATTAAAAGTAATTGAAAAGAAGTCCGTGTGTCTCTGCTATTCCCTTTAAATAAAAATATTTGCTTAGCAAACACAGCAAATAAAGCGGTGCCGGAGCGAGAGAAACAACTGAGACAAAGTTTCGAGTGCACTTTTGATAACGGTATAAAGTAGAGTGTGAACTTAGCTAAAAGCCTCCTGCTTGACAGAAGTCTGGGCTCTACCAGGATAATCATATTATAGGAGCTTTTGCCTCTTATAAGAGATTTGTGTTGTGAATTTAAGTTATTTGAAGAAACTTCTTTTGAACCATTAAAATAGAGCAAATCTTGCCATAAGGGATATTTTTTTATAGGGGCACTAATCAAAATCATAATTCACCCCTTATAATAGTATTCAAGGTTTGTTTTCAAAAACTATATCGCTATCACGTTTTTCAAGAAAAGGTTTCGTGATTATTCGTTGATTTTTTTCCATTGACCAACTGGTCTAATGGTAATGGTATATAAGTATTCTCCTAAAAACATGCAAGTCATGTCAGTTACTTTATTCCGTTGTTTGTTCAGGGCCAAATGCCACTCAACAGTAAGTGAGAGCTTAATTTGGGCTCTTCTATAAAATTAAGACCGACTGACAGGTTATAGTTTTGAGAATAGATTAATACCGGACACCTCACGGCTACCTGCGTTCCCATACATTAAGCTGTTTGTTGGTATTTCGTAGTCGAACCATCAATCTATGATATTTTCTTTTCGTATATTTAAACGCTTTAACATAATCTTTTAAATATTGTTTCGTAGGTTGCTCTTTTGAGAAGTACGTTTTTCATCTGATTTTGTTAGTAACAGATGAGCTGTCAACACTTTGCGTTTTTGAAAAAATCCAAAAGACGAAGAGTCTCTGTGTAGGTGAGTGGTGAGTCCAAACTGAAAGTCTATGAACATTTTAAACATTACATTTTGGTCTCTATTGAAGCCAGTTTGACTTGTAGGTGTTTGGTAAAAAATTGATATTGGACTGAATTTTGTTATGTTTATGGATTGATATTTTTAGAATATAAATATTATAAACCGATTAACTATTTCTTTCGGAATTTGATGATATTTAGAAAAGATTGCCTATAAGAATGCAGAATTTTACGCGTACAACCTACTATAGTTTGCCTTGTCTTGTAGGTCACAGCACAGACAACAGACCCCCGGAAAGTTATGACTTCCTTATAATTAAAAAAATAGATTCTGGACAATGTATCTATCTGTAAGTAGTAAGTTTGGGAGGGTGGTATGCCACAGCACGTTAGGCGCAATTCACACAGGACGGGCGCGTAGTGGTGGTGTGGGACTGACGTGGTGGAGCTGTGGAGCGGACGTGGCGCGCTCAATCCACATAGAAGCGAATCGAGTCCGATTTTTGTCATTCAGTTGTAAACATCGTAGTGACATTTGAAGAGAAGTGAAAATGTTCTCAGATGACGACGAAGATGATCTGGATATGTTGAACCCTTGTAAATTTAGCAAACATGCAAAGAGAAAGAAGATACTGGGTACATCCATTGTGGTTAGATAAAGGAAAAAGTAGTGGTGCGTTTAACGTTATGAGGGAGCTCAACATGTACCCTGAACGTTTTCAAAGTTTCTACCGAATGTCTACAGACTGTTTCCATAGAATATTAAGTTTAGTAAGAGTTGATCTAGAAAAAAAATCTACGAATTGGAGGGAACCTGTCAGTCCAGAGGAGAGGCTGTTAATAACGCTGAGGTAAGTTGAAAAAAAAAAATTAAAGTAACTTCATTTATTTAAGTTTAATACAAAATAAAAAATAAATTCTGATAGTGTTATTTCTAAAGTACTAATTGTTGTATTGGATGAATTCATTCATATTGAAAGGTTCCCTTGAGACTTCCGTGTTCCCTTGGGAAGTAGAATTTAGATTTCTGTCCATTGAATGAGTACTCCAAAAGGAAGGCCTCCCTGATAAGTTATTTCCTTGCGACGGTGAATTCAAATTTGCGTTCACTGAGTCCTGACTACAAAAGACTGAGGGACATTCGTTGGTGGAGCAGGATATGCAGAAGTGGTGCAGGAGAGTATTTGCTCGGACAAATTCAAAATTCCCAATTTGAAATGTCGCTTCTGGGTACTGTTCATAGACTTCATGTCCGGGAGAACACTGTGTAAAAACGCCAAGTCAGGGTCCTGGGGCTCGATTGTGGTGTTTGTCTTCTTCGTCGTGTTTTGACTCTCCAACATGTATTGTTTTTTTTCAAAACGTGGAGAGACGGAGAAAGACAGCCAATGACAATGACAGCCGACGAACGATTGACACAATTCAAGGATTATAAACAAAGAAGATTGCCTATTATTGTTAAGCGCCGATGCCCTTGTAACGTCACTACAGATGCGCGTTTTTTTTTTTTTTGTGTAGCCTTTCGTCTTTATACCCCGACTCATGCGCTTTGTGTCTAAAAGTTGTATGAGGAAGGGAATAGTTTTTAATATTATTTTTCGTGTAGGCTTCTCATGGCACCGAAGCTATGCACCGAAGTGGCGTGGCGGTGGTGGGAGCAATCATGCCAGTTCCATGTCACCTCTATGTGAATTGTCTCATAGGCTAACGTGCGGGTGGCATATGCCCGTACCACGCCAGTCCCACGCCACCACCACACGCCCGTTCTGTGTGAATTGCGCCTTAGGTCACAGTCGGCCCGCATTGTATGCCTCCACAAGAGGGGATGCCATCCTTAGCTCGTCATCCAGCCTCTGATCTCTTATTCTAGGGATGGTTATGACTGGCCTACTCTGGGGCCTTATTCTGTAAGAACGAACCGTTCGATTCGGTAGAATTTCTTCGATTGTGACGTCATTTTTGGTTTGGTTTTCGCGCTACCAAACCGAAAATGACGTCACAATCGAAGAAATTCTACCGAATCGAACGGTTCGTTTTTTACAGAATAAGGCCCCTGGCTCTGCATATTGGCGAAAGAGCAGTGCAGCACAAAGAATGTGCTGCATCGTCTTCGTCATAACAAGCCAAGCCTTACACAATGGTGTGGTGCTAAGATGCAACCTAAACGAATGTTCGTTTTTCTGACAGTGGCCAGTCAAGATGCCCGTTATCAGGCGTAGCCTTTTCCTGGCCAGCGACAGTTTCTGGCTCGCTGCAGATTTGTCTGGGTAGCTTAGCAGTTCATTGGATAAGTATTGTTCTAGCGCTTTTTGAAAAGAATGTGGGAGCATTCTTTGATCATATATTTGGCCGCCGACATGGTCAGCCCCACGAAGAGCTCTGGTCCAGAAGGCTGTAGCCTGGCGGCTCTCCTAGCCAGAGTATCGGCAGCCTGATGATGTCCTTTGATTTTGATTTAATGACCACCCTGTTTTTTTACGCCTCTGTGAGGAACGGTAACAATGTTGTACTTCTTTCTTTTCTTTTGGAATTAAATCTCGAATCCACTTTGAGAGATGGATAACTTCTTCAATATTTAATGTTGTAGGTACTAGTTCTGACGTGAGTCATCTAGATATATTATAGGGCTAGTGCTGCTTGTCTGCAGTCCTTGTTGATGTGCATGTCAGTGATATTGTTGCTGACTATCTTTTCTGCAGCTGGTTATGGCAGTAATTTCCGTCAGTCACAGAGGGTATGTATCTTACCTGCGCCTGGTCCTCCACATTTGTGGTTATGGAGTCACGGAAATGGGTTGCCAGTAGTACCTAACTCTGTGATTTCCTGAAGTGAATGGGTCTTTTTGAAGAGCTTTCTGAAGTTTTGC